TAAACCCTAAACCCTAAAGTTAAAGCTCACGGTATAGAATCTAGGACCCCTGTCCGCCAGTAAACGCACGAGCCCGTGCTCTAGCCATCCAAGCAGGTGATTATAGATGCTAATAGAGTTTAGGGTGGGGTTTAGGGTTCTAGGGTTCTGGGTTGCGGGTTTTTTAGGGTATTCCCTAAACCCTACATCCTACACCCCAGTTCTACAGCAAGGCCAAGTGAGATTCTGGAGCTTCAGAAGAGGTGCTTGAAGTGATTTCAAAACCTGCTCAAGCTCATGCGATGCTCGAAATCCCTCATCTTTTGTGCACTTGCGAAGTCTCGATGCAAAGAGGCCTTCATAAACGTTCCATGGTTTGAACTCAGGTCCTGCGAACACATGTCAGGTTCAGATGTCAGCTAGATGTGTGTGTACATATATATATATATAGATAGAGAGAGACATATATATATATATAGACACGTGTATTTAAATTTAGGTTTTTACGTTTATGTCCACCCCAAATTACCATTACAGCCTGGATAGGTTGCCAAAGTAGTTCTAGTTTAGTGCGGCTTACATCTAAGTAAGCTTCACCTAACAACCTCGTCTTCGAAGCCCGAACGGAAGGTCCTGCAATCCCCATCTCCCACGCATGCGCACGTAAGCCGGAGCCCGCAAAAATGCCAATTTTTTTCTTGCTGTCGGCTCTTGAAGCCCAACACCTGAACCACCCCGAAACCCCAAGCCCCAACCCCCAGACTCCTAAACAAACCCTAAACTCTAAACCCTAAACCCTAAACCCTAAACCCTAAACCCTAAACTCCCCATGCCCAGGTCGGAGGGCCTCCTCCACCCTGGGGCCGTGGTCGTGGCGGACAATGTCCTCAAGCCAGGGGACATCCCCTCAGCTGCTTCGGTTTTTCGGGGTTTTGAGGGTTTTTTGTCGCGTTTTAGGCTTTGTTTGGTGGCGTGTGGGGTTTGTTGGGGGGTTCCTAGGGCTTTAGGGTTTTTAGGGCTGTTGGGGCTTTTAGGGTTTTGAGGAATTTTCAGGGTTTTTCAGGGCTTTTAGGGCTGTCAGGGTTTTGAGGATTTCGAGTTCAGGTTTTTAGGGGGCTTTTAGGGCTGTTAGGGTTTTGAGGAATTTTGAGGGTTTTTCAGGGCTTTTAGGGCTGTTAGGGTTTTGAGGATTTTGAGGATTTTGAGTTCAGGTTTTTAGGGCTTTTGAGGGTTTTCAGGGCTTTTAGTGTTCTGAGGGTTTTGAGTGATGGTTTTGTTAAGGATTGTTCGGGTTTTTTTAGGATTTTGGGGCTTTAGGGGGTCTTAGGGTTGTTGGGGCTTTCGGGCTTCAGGTTAAATAGGTCTTGACGTGAAGGTTGAGGCTTTGAGTTTAGGGTTAGCATCTCAGTCCGCGCGTGGCCACCCTTTGAATTCTAATCTGGTTTTTGCACGCTGTATTCGCACGCTGTACCTTTCTCATCCCAACCCCTACTCTCATTTAGGGTTTATTTAACGTCTTCCCACCCGCATATCCTGAAGTCGTCGCAATTCTCCTGCTGCCTGTATAACTGCGTACTGAGGCACCTCTCTTTCTGTTTCAGCTCATGAACGGTGGGAGATACCACGCCGCTGCACTGGAACTGGAGTTTGGGGCTTTTGTCCATAAGCGCACACCCAAATGACATTCCCTTGACACTGGCCCCTCCTTTCGGCGATCTTGTCGTTTAGGGATCTCAATTGCCTCAGCCCCAACTGCGCGCAACACCCAAAACAAGACCCGAATATCAGGGCTACATGCCTTTTTATTTCGGGTATGGCGTAGTAGTTCGGGCCTAAACCCTAAACCCTAAATCGGGTGGGGGGGGGGGGGGGGGGCAGTATAGGACCCCATAGGTTGGTGAGCAGCTGGGGGGGCTCTGGGTGTGGGATTTGGGGCTTGAGGTTCCGTAAGCATCGGGCAGCTACACAAGCTACCAAATGCTTAAGAACCCCTAAACAAAAATTAAAAAGATCTTCCTGATAAGGGTAATTAAGGGGTTCTTTATATTTTATATTATATTATATTTTATTATATTATATTATAGTATATTATATATATATATTTTTTTTTTGGGGGGGGGGGTCTTAAAAGACCTGAGCCCTCCCCGATGCAGGACGTCACATTTTGCAGGGAGTTTAGGGTTTAGGGTTTAGGGTTTAGGGTTTAGGGTTTAGGGTTTAGGGTTTAGGGTTTGGTGTCCACAAACTTCCACATAAACCCTTGCCCATTGCTTCCCGGCCCAACCTTTCTCAAGGCCCAGATCGTTTCCATGGACGAGTTTGCCATGCCGTCAGAGGAAGTGTCCTTTGCCAATGCAATCGCATTTTGCTGAGATGGTGTCGCCTGGGCTTTACGAAGCTTTGGGGCGTTATTTCGTCTAGCCTCGCACTCATCCAGCATCTTGAAGAATCGCGGCACTCTTTCCCCACTTGGGTTCGAGCATTGAGGGCTCAGAGAGCAGGGCCTAAACATGAAGCCTCAATACCCTAGACCCTAAACAGGCCCTTGGCATCCCAAACCCTAGCCATCGGCAGCTTGGTTTAACTAGGGTGTAGGGTTCGGGGTTTAGGGCTCTTCAATTCAGACCCTGTGTGTGTTCGAAGGGATGGTCCATGCTAGCAAATTTGCCCCAGGCTGTACTACTGGTTCTTATCATGGGAAGCTGAGTATAGCCCCTTCAAAGGGTTCTAGAGAGCCATGCCCTCAGCCCTAAACCCTAAACCCTTTTGTTTCACCTCAGAAGGATGTCTATCGTCCCGCTGTGGCGATGCCAGCAGGTGTGGGGTTTAGGGTTTATAAGGTTTAATTAGGGTTTAGGGTAGAGGGTGTCGGCTACTAGGAATCCCTGAGTTTTCTCGTGAGGACTGGATGTCGATCAACGTGCGGAAGCTAAAGGCCCCAACACAGGGGTCGGAATATTTACTAGTAGTAGATATTCCCTTCTTATGATGGCCCCCATCAGTATACCAAATAGTTTCTAATAGTGTATATTCCTTTGTGACCCCTATAAATAGACTGTCACAGTATTCCTTGGGATGCTCCCCCTTCTACTAACAGTCCTTAATAGGGATTAGAATCAGAGGCTTAAGGACTGCTAGTAAGAGGGGGAACATCCCAAACTATTCCCTTCTTATGATGACCCCTATCATTGTACCATAATGGCGCCCGAAACCCTATTCTAATTCTTAAGGTTGGGGGGGTTTGCAGCGTTTCGGAGTTCCTTGGTGGCCAGGTTTGGGTTTAGGGTATTTTCGGGGCTGTAGGGGGGCTTCTCTGGGGGTTGTAGGGGGTTGTTATGGGGCTGAGATGGGGGTTATATATAGGGGGCTTATAGGGGGTTGCAGGGGTTGTAGGGTGGTCAGAATTTCTAAAGGAAGCAGGCCCGAAGCCCGACGGTCCTTTGAGGGGGGCGGGGGGGGGGGGGTTGGATGTTTAGGGAGCTGTCAAGTTCAAACGCCCACTAAAGCCCACCAAAGCCTTCCAGGGGCAAAAAGCCCGAAACCCGAAGCCCTAAACCTAAACACTGAACCCTAAACCCCAAACCCCTAAACCTAAACCCTAAACCCTAAACCTGCACCCAGTTTCATGGAGGTTGTGTAAGAGGATTCCCAGTTTTGGCTGGTTCACCCTCAAGCCAGGGATGACCCGAACGCAGCGTTCGGGGTTTGATCTACAAGGAGGGGCCGCCCTTGTTATAAGTAGAGTTACAAGAGCCCTACATTGGGTTATAAGGATCCTAAATCAGGTTATAAGTCCCTTTACTACAGTTAGTATAGTAAGGGGGGCCCCTCCTTGTAGGGTTCATGGGTTTAGGTTTTAGCGCTTAGGATTTGCGGTTCAGGGTGTAGGATTTATGCCATAGGAATGAGGATCTGGGCGAACCTTAAACCCTAAGCCCTGAACCCTAAACCCGAAACCCTAAACCCTAAACCCTTCCAGGCGCCAAAGAATGAGACGGAGCCACCCGAAGACCTGCACCAGCTCTCTAAAGAGACGGCGCGCCGGGGCGAGAGAGTCTGTTGGGTGTTGGGGATAAACTTCTGCAGCCTCAACCCTAAACCCTAAACCCTAAACCCCAAAACCTAAACCCCTAAACCCCTAAACCCCTAAACCCCTAAACCCCTAAACCCCTAAACCCCTAAACCCTAAACCCCTAAACCCCTAAACCCCTAAACCCTTAAACCCCTAAACCCCTAAACCCCTAAACCCCTAAACCCCTAAACCCTTCACTCATCGGCGCTTAGGGCCTCTGGTTTGGGGTTCAGGGTTTATCCCAAGCCTTTCACCTACGAAGCTCTTCACCCTTATCAGAACCCTTCCGCTTGGCAATGCCCAGATTGCCGCCCCCGAGTCCCCAAAGCCTAAACGCAGGGTTTAGGGTTCAGGGTTTAGGGTTTAGGGTTTGGGTTTAGGGTTTGCCCCCTTTCTTGGCCTTAACCAACCCCAAAAAGATTACCCTTATCATAATGGTTATTGGGCTACCTAGTAATTGCACATTATGCCGACACCCTAAACCCGAAACCATAAGCCAAAAAAGCCTGAAGCTTAGATCAGCCCCATGCAACCATGAAGTCCTTGCGCCCTAGGAAGGTGCAGGTTCCGTAGGGTTTGGGGCTCAGGAGTTTGAAATCTCGATTGCAGCCGCATACTTCAGTAGGGCTTCGAATATGTGCAGAAGCGGCTGCCGACTCAAATGTTTGATTTGGCTTAGAGAAGAACCGCTCAGGGAACATCGCGGCCAATGACAAGCAGGTTGAGGGAACCACAACAGATTCCGAAGCTTCTAACCCCGAAACAATACAGGCTCAGGGGGTTATACAGGGGTCGGAATAATTACGAACAGTCTTCCCTTATGGTCCCTATAGAATTCTACTATAATATCCTCCAAGACCCGGTTCTATTTTTTAAGGCCCCTATATGACTGAAACCCTAAACCCTAAACCCTAAACCCTAAACCTGAAAACCCTAAACCCTGAGCCAGGACCGCATGCGCGAGCGCGCGACCGGACCCGGGCGCAGCGCAAGCTGCCCAGGAAGCCTTCAGGGGGTTCAAGGCTAAGGTTCTTGAGTTTAGGGTTTAGGGTTTAGGGTTTAGGGTTTAGGGTTTAGGGTTTAGGGTTTGGGGTTCGGGGTTCGGGGTTCGGGGTTTGGGGCTTAGGCGGTCTTGGCGGGTTTTGAAGGGTTTAAGATTCGATGGGGCGATGTCAAGGATCTTGTGTAGGAGCGCCGCGATGAGTTTAAAGCCACCAAGCACCTTAACCTCAGAAGTGTACCAAGTTTTGGGTTCAGGGTTTAGGGTTTCAGGTTTAGGGTTTAGGGTTTAGGGCTTAGGGGTTCCCTGAAGGAACCCTAAAGACACCCTAAACGCTCTAAACCCCGGGCCACAAATAGGAGTTCGGATATGCTTGGGGCAGCACCAGCGCCAAGAGAGCTCTGTCTTGCCTGACGCGCCCTGTTGATAAACCCTAAACTTTACCTAAACCCTCAACCTCCCTAAACCCTAAACCCTAAACCCTAAACCCTAAACCCTAAACCCTAAACCCTAAACCCTAAACCCTAAACCCTAAACCCTAAACTTTACCTAAACCTGTTTTGGGGGTGTAGGGTATAGGGTTTAAGGCTTGAAGCTGTCGAAGCAAACTCCGCAGCTCCATTGTCTGCCCCCCAGAACAAATACTGAAAAGCCCCTAAACCCTAAACCCGGAACCCTAAACCCTAAACCCTAAACCCCTAAACCCTAAAACCCTAAAACCCTAAACCCTAAACCCTAAACCTCCAGACGAAGCCAAGTCTTTAGGGTTTAGGGCTTGTGCCTTCCTTTCCCAGGTCACCTATGAGGAGTGGGCGGAGTTTGCCCAGGAGGTGAAGGCCTCCGAACTTGTTAGCATTTTTTCCAGGTTTAGGGTTTAGGGTTTGGGGTTTGGGGTTTGGGGTTTGGGGTTTCGAGGGAGTTTGGGATGCTTAGTGTTTATAGGATCGGGGATGGTCAAGGTGTAAGGTGCCCAGGAAGCGGAGAACGGCGACAGGACACATGGGCCGACATGGCTGTAGCAGAAGCTGTTTTCGGGATGCTGCTAAACGCCATACTGCTTTTCAGACCATCTCCAGCATCCTTGTCGATCTTGCAACATCTTCGTGAGCCGCTGCTCATATATACCCTCTACCCCTAAACCCTAAACCCTAAACCCTAGGTCCCAACTTTCCAAACCGAGACTGACAGGGCCGACGCCCAAACCTGGAAACCTCGGAAGCTCCCGGCCCAAGGTTTTAATGCAACCTCTTAGCAACCAAAATCTCAAAGAGCACTCAAAACCCTCTTTGATGAGATGAGTCTAATATAGTATCATGTACTATAATGTAATGTATGTATATACATACATATACACATATATAATCTGCATATAAAAATATATGTATATATATATATATATATATATATCCCTAAGCCACCACGCCGGCTGTGTACAGAAGCGTTTGGCGGCGACCGATGTGGAGCTGACGGTGGACCTTCGCCCGGAAGATAGCCGGGAGCGTGCTCCGAACGCATTTTTTGTTAAGGGGTTGGGGGGGGGGGGGGGGTTTAGGGTTTGGGGTTTCGGGTTTAGGGTTTAGGGTGTAGGGTTTAGGGTTTAGAGTGTAGGGTTTAGGGTTTAGGGTTTAGGGCTGGGGTGGTGGCGGGGAGGGGGAAAACCTAAACCCTAAACCCTAAATCCTAAATCCTAAACCCTAAACCCTAAACCCTAAACCCTAAACCCTAAACCCTAAACCCTAAACCCTAAACCCTAAAACCCTAAACCCTAAACACTAAACCCTACCCGGTTTTTCAACTAAACGCTACGGAGCCCCGATGATGTCCTTCAAGCTCCAATGCGGGACTAATCCATAGCCCCTTTGCCCCCCTACCCCCACCCTTAGGGTTTAGGGTTTAGGGTTTAGGGTTTAGGGTTTAGGGTTTAGGGTTTAGGGTTTAGGGTTTAGGGTTTAGGGTTTAGGGTTTAGGGTTTAGGGTTTAGGGCCCACCTGACACGTCCTTGGCAGTTATCCTGCCGGCTTGAGAATCAGTTCCTGAAACAGCCATGCCGGCTGTTGGCTCATCCTTAGGCACAAACCCTAAACCCTAAGCCCTAAATGGCCAGAACCTGTACACAGTGTGGTCTTTGGGCCCAAGAACTCGAAGTGAGTGAGAGGTCTTACAACCATCCTCCGCATCTCGGGAACCCTAAACTCTAAAACCTGAACCCTCAACCCTCAACCCTAAACCCTCAACCCTCAACCCTGAACCCTGAACCCTGAACCCAGCCAGGTGACGAGTCTTTTGGCATGAAGTACCAGCGCTGACAGCAAAAATTGTGCGAGGAGTTGCCCTAAGGGTCTAGGACCCCGAGTAGGCTAAGGGTCTAGGACCCTGAGTAGGCCCTTGTTTTTTTTTTTTTTTTGGGGGGGGGGGGGGGGGGGGGGGGGGGGTTCCCTTTTTTAAGCAACAAGGGCACCTCGCTTGCTGGGCGGTGGGTCGGTTCTGCTTCAGCGTGGTTCCCCTCTGCTGGCTCCGCAGCATCTCGGTTCAATCTCGCCTCCCCGCCACTCGCAGGGCTTTGCTGAATTTGTGGAGGTCGAGGTATGACCCTTAATTCAGAAGCCAAGCAGGCAGGGGGCTTGGGGTCAGACTCATGTGGAGTGCTCTGGTCTTGTGTCCCAAAACGGCGGGGAAAAGTGCAGGATGAGCTTTGTTCCCTTTTGTGGAGGTGCTGGTTCGAGGGAGCCACGCGATCCTGCAGGCTGACAAGGCTAGCGATCTGGGCTATGAAGGTGGCAACGTCGAAGTTAGCGTGATGCACGTCCGCCACGACGACGCCACCTGCTTCATCGGTTTCCCAGACGGACGCGAAGCTTGGGTGAATGCAGAGTACCTCCGTCCAGCAAAGGCAGGGGATTACCCTTCGATTTCTTCGAAGAAATGTTGTGGGTCGGTCCAGATCGTTTAGCAAGTCGGTTTCCGTAATCAGACACGAGAATTCTTATGATCCAGGTGTCGGTGTTCGAGATTGTGCATGTGGTGAATGCGGTGAAGGACCTCCACTCTGAGCATGTTTCTAGTCCATCTTCAGAATTGTTCGGAAGTGCGCCACTAAGGTGTTTCCAAGGGAATTTGATGTCTAAGGTTGCCCTTTTGTGCTTCTACCTCCTCAACGTCTTCGCCTTCGTGCTCGTCGAGTGGCGAAAGCCCTCCATGCTGTGGGCGATGCGATCTTGGTTCGTGTTCCTCGTTTGGTACACCTGGGATGCCATCTGCTGCTGGAAGGCCGTCATGCGCGGACGCCTCCGGCGCTCCGAGCCCGGCAGCCCCTCAAACAAGCATCGCCCAGAGCAGGGGCTCCGAGCCCGCAGCAGTCTTGGCCTACCCCAAGAGGAGGAGATCCAGATGTTGTCCGACTTGCTTGCAGCACACAAGGATGTTGAACATACCAAGGACCCAGACTCCCCCAAGAAGTTGCAGCAGAGGCCCACAGGCGCCTCAAATCTCTTGCCTCAAGTCACCGGCGATGGGATGCTGGAGGATGACATTGCTCACTCCTTAGACATGGACCACGTTCACCTCACCTTTTGGTTCTTCCTATGGGGCCGCATCTTCATTGGCTTGGGTGCGTGGGCCGGCATGATCTTCGGCGGCAAGGACACTCCGGGCATCCTGCGCTATGGGCTGAGGCGGATCTTCAACGACCTTGGTGTTTGGCCCCACCGTGTGAAGAATGCCAGGCGTTTGGCGGCGCAACTCCTCTTGGAGACCACTCTCTCCATCTACGTGCGCGAGGTGGAAACGACCGGCGGCATGACCGTTGCTCGCTTTGCCATTCCGGACGTCCCACACTACACTCAGCAAGGCAAGAACGCTCACAAAAGTTCGTGTGGCTCTATAGCAGTATAGCAGTTCTGAAAAGTAAAGCCTATGGCACGATCCGAAATCACTCCATGCGTTCTGGAGCATAGCACCATAGGGGCGTGCTGCAAGCCCGGCAAGGCAAATGCTTGCAGCATGCCGAGCTGTTGGCGGAGGTGAACTTGACGGACAGATCCGACCAAGTCCTCATGTGGGCAACTCTGCCTACAGGTTCTTCACGTTTGTTTTTAACATTCGTCCCTTCGGAGTACAGTTATAGTTCGTGTTCTTGCACGCCAAATTTGTGCTCACACTGTAGCGGCGGCGGCGGTGGGAGCTGTAGTTTTGAAAGTTTTGGGAAGAACATGAACCCAAACCCTAAACCCTAACCCCTTTTGGTTCATTCCCTTCGCCAGTGGGTGTCCCAGGCAACCTATGGTGGGGCAGCTATCCAGGCAGACGAGGCCCTTCTGCTCCTTTTTGAGGGAATCTGGGAAGCTACTTAATTGCTTAGGGTATAGGGTATTCAGGGTTTCGGGTTAGTTAAGAACCCACCAAAAATTGCAGATATTCTTCCTTCGTTGCTTTTTTTTGTGCTTGGGGTTCTTAAGCAAACAGTAGGAATGAGGGGTTGACAGGGCGTAGGCTACTAAGGCTTTGAAGTGTCAGAGCTTTTCGGGAAAAGAGGAGTACTTTAGGCCCAGTGGGTAAACCCCTAAACCCGAAACCCTAAACCCCAAACCCTAAACCCTAAACCCCAGAGAACCAGGCCGTTATCCTGCTCAACATGGCATGCTGCTACTTGGTCCACCCGATGTTGTGGCTAGGGCTGATAGGAGACTTTGTCTTTAAGTTTAGGGTTGAGGGTTTAGGGCTTAGGGTTTAGGCGTTTTAGAAAATTCAGGCGCGATGCATACTCGAGGGAACCTCACGCAGTCAGCACGTAGAGTCGGTTTTCCAGGCTGTTCGCTTCATGTTTGCTGACTGAAAGCATATACTCATCCCATGTGATTCTCTACGGGTATCTAATACACATCGGGTAAAATCCAGCGTAAGGCATGCCTTCAGCAACTGGGCTGCCAACCCAGAGAGTCCAGACCCGACCGTTCGGAAGTATTCCATTGGCACCGTCCTGTACAACTACTACGGCGTCAATGCCTTTGCGAACTGGTGTGACCTTGGATACTGGCTGGGCGTTTGCAACGTGGACGCAGAACGATTCCGAACCTTGATCTCGTCCTGCTTGGTTCACGGCGTCCCCCCGCATGCCGACATCAAGAAGTTGAAGGAAGTCATAGGGTTTAGGGTCCAGGGTTTAGGGTTTAGTGTTTAGGGTCAGCAAGCATCGCAATTCATCGTGCATCTGCGAAGTAGTAGTCGAACAATGTTTCTTTGCGTAGATGCGAAGATCGCAAGCAGTGGAAGGATCACAGCCACTTCGTGAACTTCCTGCTTCCGGTGCGGAGGCGGTTCTTGTCCCTTTTCCGGAAGCACCAGGCGGACTTCCCAGGGATCGACGGAGAGGCGCTCTTCCTGGCCACGGTCGTGCACCCGCTGGACCACTACAACCTGATCACGATGCAAAAAGCTCTGGACCAGGCCAGGGGCTTGCCACATCTTCTTCATGCGCAACACATAAGAGCAGCATACTTTGTTGAGGGCCCTAAGCCCCAACCCTAAACCCTAAACCCTAAACTCTAAGCTCTAAACCCTAACCAAGGGTTAGCAAGCTGTTTCGGTGAAAGCTAAGGTGAGCCTCAAGGACGGCTATGCGGAGGATTTGTTCGTGGTGAGGTCTGCCATCATGTTCCTCGGAATCTTCTTAAGAGCTTGGCTTTCTTCTGAAGGAGGGAACTTAGGAAGAAGCCTTCAACAACCTCAACCTTGAAACGCCTGAGCCATAACCTGAACTCTTGAAGCCCTAAGCTTCCAATTCGGCTCATGAACCGCCCTCAACCCCAGCCCGATAACAAATCTCAAGGATCACTTCGGAGAAGCTCTTTCTTTCCTACCTCGTGAACGACTTCAGCTTCTCCGGTTCGTCGCACCCACTGTTCAAGGAGACCACAGTTCGGGGTTTCAAGTTTTTTCGGTTTTTTTTTTGTTTGGGGGGGGTGGGTTGGGTGGGGGGGGTGGTGGGTGTGCTAGACGCCGAGTTACGGGCCGTTCGGCTCAGCGTTTTCATTTTCGTTTTCAGCTTGAGCTTTATGAGCCCTGTGTCGTTCCAGGAGACCTACAATTTTGCCAAGCACCGTGACCAACGTCTGGCTGACGAGATGGAGTGCTGCGTCCTGCGTTAGTCGTTTCGCACGTGGTTTTGCGCGTGTCGGGGTCCATACTCCACCGGGTCGCAGACTTCTGCAGGAGCGTGGGAAGCAGCGTCAGTCGAAATTTACGTCCGGAGTTCGGCTCTGTGAATGTAGTCCCTGACTCTGGTCCCCGACACCACCTCTAACCCCTTGGGGGAGGTTTTTCGCAGCTGCGACACCGGCGCCTGGCCGGCTTTTCCCACAAGCGTGGGTTTTTCCTCTGGACATCCCTGGCTATAGGCATGCACCGCGACCGAACTTCGAGTACTTAGCGCCCCCCCAGCAATCTAAGGCCTAAGGGGGCATGACACGAACCATCTGAACAGCATCCCCACATAACCTCTAGACCTTGTCGAAGTCTACTTAAAGGATTGGCAGTTCCGCGGATCGTCCAGATTTCCTACCCACGAGGGTGGCAGCGTCCCTTCTCCAATCCTTCAAGTTTCTTGGGCAAGGAGGTCGCAAGACAACTTTTGGTTCCGTCAGCCACAAGGGTGGCAGCGTCCTTCTCCAACCACTCACGTTTCTTCACGTTTCTTGAGCAAGAGGGTCGCAAGACAGCGCGTGGTTCCGGTTGCCAAAGGCCTTGACAAGCGAGGGCAACAGTCTAACTGCACCGGGATCTTTTCCAGCTGCTTGCGCCCAACGCAAAGGCACCAACGCCGGCACCATTGCCGGGACAACGCGATGCTCAAAAAGCCGTCTTTGCAGCATGAATCGTGCGAGCAGTGCGTTCAGGAGGCAGGGGTTCTATGGGACGATTTACCGGAATTTTTGCTTTCGGTGGAATACACAACAATCTCGAAAGTCCTGCCTGCAAAGCGTTTCAGATTCAGACTGACCCGCAGCGCGCTCTCAACCGTGGCTGTCTCGGGCATGCTCATCTTAGGCTAGCAGAAAGCTAAAAAACTACGGTTCTGCTTGGGCAGAGAGTGTTTAGGGTTTGGGGTTTAGGGTTAGAGGGCACAGCCTTGGGCAGAGGGGGACTGCCCTACAGCCAGTTGCCGCTTCGACTTGTTTCGGGCACAGACGGATGGAGCTTACAGTGAGCCCGTATATCGAGCACCTACATCGAGGAGGAGCGATAAGGTCCCCAAACGTGCAAGTGTGCATTTTAGGGCTTAGGGGTTAGGGTTCAGGGTTCAGGTTTAGGG